TAAAACAGCAGCAGGGGGGTCAGAAGCTCGAGTTTAAGCTTGGCTAAATAGTGAGTTGTTGATACAAAGAAAGTTCTAGGTCAGTTCTGGGATACATGAGACCTCGTCTCAAAAAGAAAGAAAGAAAAAGAGAGAGAGAGAGAGAGGAAACAAACAAAAGCCATCAAAGAGCACAGAGGAGAATGCTGGTGTAGCATGGTTCGGGCACTGGGGAAAATTCATGAAATGAGTTAAATACACAAAGCTGTCTTGAGTTCCGGAAGACTGTTTTAAAATCGTATACCACTCACAGAGGCAAGCAGATCTCTGGGGGTTCGAGGGCAGCATGGTCTATAATGAGTTCTAGGCCAGCCAGGGATACGTAGTGAAAGTGTGTCTTGATGAATCAATAAATAAAAATACTCAATCAGAAATCATATATAGCCAGTTCTGGTGGTACACGCCTTTAATCCCAGCACTCAGCAGGCAAAGGCAGGAGAATCTCTGTGAGTTTGAGGGCCAGTCTAGTCTGCAAAGGGAGTTCCAGGACAGCCAGTGCTACACAGAGAAACCCTGTCTCAAAACAGCAATAACAACAAAAAACTTTACTACTCTTTAATACAAAATGTTGATCTTGAGGAACAGAAAACACAGATCATTAAAAGCCCATTTTGTGTGTATAGTAATCTTGAGCTTCATGATCTAGGTTGGGGGCTAGGGTTCAGCTGACAGAATTCTTGTTTAGCGCGCACGAAGAAATCCTGGCTCTCTATTACTGCAGAACCAGGTGTGGTGACAAATGTCAGCAACCCAGAGCTTGAGAAATAGGCAGAGGGTTGGGAGTCCAGGGTCATCCCTAGTTACATAGTAAGCTCAAAGTCAACCTGTACTGCATGAGACCTTGTCTAAAAATAACAATAAAAATAAATAAAAAAGCTGGGCATTGGTGGTGCACACCTTTAGTCCCAGCACTCGGGAGGCAGAGGCAGGTGGACCTCTGTGAGTTCCAGGCCAGCCTGGTCTACAGAGTGAGTGCCAGGATAGGCTCCAAAGTCACATAGAAAAGCCCTGCCTCGAAAAACAAAAAAATTAAAAAAAAATCATAATCTAAATCTATGTCCTAGTTAAGTGTGATCTTGTAATCACAAGACAAGACTCAGGTTGGGTTTTTCCTAAATGCCATTCTAGGGCTCAAACACGGAGTCAAAGGTATTGAAAGGCCAGGAAGATAGCTCCATAAGTAAAGGTGATGGCTGTCAAGTCTCACAACCTAAACTCAATCCCTGGGAACCACATGGTGAACGGGGAGAAACAACTGACACAAGTTGCTCTCTAACTGCCATGTGACCCATAGTATGGGCGTGTGTGCATGCACGTACGCACGCGCGCGCACACACACACAAAACACCCCCCCCCCACACACACCACATTCGTGCACTTACACACATACATTTTAAATTTAAAGTAAAAAATATTTTTTTTGAAACAGGGGGTGACTATGTACATTGGCTGCCTTGGAACTCACAGACCAGACTCTCCTCGAGCTCTCAGAGAGCTGCCTGCCCTCCACCTCTGGAATAATCGTGACTTGAGGATTGCATGCCATGCCCGGCCTCCATGAAGAACAATTTAAGTAAATTGTACTTAATTGGGAAATCAGTTTATGTAAGATCCTATTCATATCATTTCACCCCACATCTGAGTACAGGCTCTCCCTTGACCAACCTGTCTGTCTACAGCTCCACAGCCGGAAGGGGCCACCTCCAGTCTGACCTCTCCAGTGCTGGTAGACAGTGTCATCAGTGGGATGTGCTTGAGACAAAGAGGAGCATCTGGAGTGTCAGGAGGGGACAGCAGAGGTGCTCCGTGTTAACAGGGCAGCTCTGAAGCCGTTTATTTATTTAAGATTCATCACTATTCTCTTAGTTAAGCTGTTGTCATGTCTAAGTTTCCTTGAAGAGAAAATAATCTATGCTTCCAACTAAGTTATTCATGGTCCAGTTTGTTCTCAGAATACTCTCAGAATAGGTTTTGTGGAGATAAATTTTATAATAGGGATTTAATGGAGTGAGCAAGTCCCAGGCCTTGGAGCATGAGTATTTGTACAGAGTACCACCCCCCCACCTCAGTCTGTGCCCCAAAGGATATTCAGCTTTATTTAGAATCTAATTTTCACAAAAGAATCAGATGGAAAGGCAAGGCAGAAACTTCCTATGGGGAAGGGGCTTGCCATTTGCAGAGCAGCAAAGGGGAAAGAGCAAATACCTATGAGGGCTGAACTCCACACGGGACAAGGCAGAGTCCTTCAGAGTCTCTTTCAGTGAGTGGCCCAGGCCCCTACTAGCCCACAGTGGTTGCATTGAAGGGTGTGTGTTTGTGTGTGTGTGTGTGTGAGAGAGAGAGAGAGAGAGAGAGAGAGAGAGAGAGAGAGAGAGAGAGAGAGAGAGAGAGAGAGAGAGAGAGAGAGAGAGAGTGTACACATCAGCTTTATTCCCCAAGCTTTAGATAGTTTAAACTGTTGACTACACATAACTCTGCCTGGAGGCTGTTACATTTTGTCATTTTTTTTTCTTTTTTACCTCTGTGTGATATTACTTTCCTTATTTACAAATTTTCTCTACTTTGTATCCAAATGGAGCCTATTAGTCATTTGCTTTACAAAGCAGCAAGGGACTTGAGGCAAACAATTCATCCTCACTGTCTCAATTTGTCCTGAGAAGGTGTTAAAACTCTCCTTTAAAACATTTCAAAACAGGCACACACTTCACTACTTAACAAGGTTACAAGTTCTTTATTTACTATTGAATTTTAGTAACGGCTTTCTGTTTCTACTGCATGATAGCCACATGCTATCATGATAGCTTGTTCCAGAGCTGCCTACCTTATTTGCATATTTGTAACAAAGTACATAAAAGAGTTAAGATATTTGGTTTATTATTTACATAAAACTGATTTTAGTCTGGTGGGGGTTTCAGAATCAGATACTTTAACACTTCTAACTTTGAAAGCAGAGCTCCTTGGTTTGCTCCACCGGGTTTTAATCTTTCTAGGGCTGACAATGCCTCACTTGCCTTCCAAAGTGTTTATACTGTCCCCAATAACACTCCTGCAAATGCTGTCGTGTCTGACTAAATCCTTACTTAGGGTGCATGCTATGCCTCTGTGAGACAGGGTCAGGAGGTCAGAATTGATTTTGGAGGCCACCTGGAGAGTCTAGGCCATGAACTGACTCAAAAAATTTCTATCAGAGCCGGAATAGACCACCTCCCACGGTCAGATGTGGCCTGACACTCCAACCACAGGACTAGCACTGCAGACAGGCTTGGGGAGAGGGCAGAGTTGTCGACCCCAAGAGCTGACCTCTTCAAACTTCAGGAGAATTTTTTTGGCAGTTACCACGGTGACTGGGTACTCTAAAGGCTTATCCTTCTTACTGAATGGAGGAGGAAAAAAAATAGGAAAAAATATGTTAAAACCTACCTCAGAGAGATGTGCATCACAGTTAACACTTTTAAAAGAATGAAGATGGCCTGGACCTGTTCATTTTTTGGATAGTAATAAAGACCTAAAAGATGCTCCTTCAGACTATAAAATTTGATGTTTGAAGCAGATACTGTTTTCATGTTTGCTGTATGCCTGTCTTTTCTTTTTCTCCTTCTTCTTCTTCTTCTTCTTCTTCTTCTTCTTCTTCTTCTTCTTCTTCTTCTTCTTCTTCTTCTTCTTCTAATAAAACTTCTCACTTAAGCTCTGTCTGCCTGGCATGTTTGTCCCTCTGCCTCGGTCACCCTCGCCTGCCATAGAATCCAACAAGGTAACCCTTGCAATTTATCATAAAGGGACCACACTGTTGACAATATACAAATGAGGCACGAGCAAACCTTTTAAACAATGCAATTGTCTCAGAAATTCTAATATTGTTCTGTTCCTGTCAGAGAAAAATCAATTATTGAACGGAAATTTCTAAATAAACATCTTTGTTTCAAAAACAGGCTCGTGGTACTTTTTCCCCTTGAGTGAATATTCTCCATTATGCCTCCCTTGAAACAATAAACATAGGGGCGGGGGAATCAAAGAACTATGGTCATTTCATACCTTATCTTGTAACAAATGCCTTCACAAAAATTGTAGATACATTAAAGACAACACTCGAGGTTGGAAGAATGACTCAGCCAATTAAGACCACTGGCCAGTCTTCCACAGGACCAGGGTTCCATTCTCAGTACCTACATGGCAGCTCACACCTGTCTGTAACTCAAGTCTTAGGGGATTTGATGCCCTCTTGTGACATCCATCGGCACCAGGCATACACATGGTATACAGACATACGTGCAGACAAAACACTTAGACACATACACACAATAGATACTCTAGAAATACTCTACACATAACAAAGAACACACAGAGGGAAAAGTACTTTATTTTAGAGCAGTAAATACTAAAGCTTAAAATAATCACCAAGCCGGGCGTTGGTGGCACAAGCCTTTAATCCCAACACTCGGGAGGCAGAGGCAGGTGGATCTCTGTGAATTCGAGACCAGCCTGGACTACCAAGCGAGTTCCAGGACAGCCTCCAAAGCCACAGAGAAACCCTGTCTCGAAAAACCAAAAAAAAAAAAAAAAAAAAAAAAAAAATCACCAAATCCCATAGGCACACCTTTAATTCCAGCTCCTGGGAGGCAGATGCAGGTCTCTGAGTTCCAGGCTAGCCTGGTCTACATAGTGAGCTCCAGGGTACAGTGCTACACAGAGAAACCCTGTCTGGGAAGCAAAACAAAAACAAAACAACAACAAAAATGCCAACCCATCAAATGCTCTTTCATATTAATGGCAAGTTTGACCTTGCCATAAAGTCCTGGACAACGCAAATACTTACACAGTCCATTTCAATTCCTTAGAGCAAATGCACACGCCTTAGGAAAACTACGGCTTGACTTCTGATCACAGGTTATAACACAAAATTCCTTAAAATAGTTCCTGAATGTAACATGAAATTAAATGAGAATCATAATAAGTTGTTTTTGTTTTGTTTTGTTTTAACTGGGAAGGCTAAGGTTGAAACTGTGTAGTAGAGGCCTTGTTTAGCCCCAGTGAGGCCCTGGGTTTGAGTCTCAGCCCTACCAAACACCAGCAATGATAAGCCAACTAGAGATCTGAATGATTTAACTTTTGTGAAATGAAATGAAATCACGGACGTTCAGTGCTGCGTTGCTCCAATCCACCCTTAATTTTGTCATCTACCACCTCATCTGAAGAACGGGGACCCTCCCTCCCACCACCACCTCTTGAGTGCTTGGTGCATGCGCACTTCCTTGTCCCAGTGGTTAGGGGCACTTCTTCTACACACACCATTAAGCCCTGGAGGAGGGGGGTTGATTGGCATTTAAAGAACCATTGGCTACATAAGGAAACAATGTCTTTGTTCTAAACATCATGTTTTCTGCTGGAAGTGACAGCACCTTTACTCCCGTATCAAAGCCATCCTCAGCTCCATCATGAGTTCAAGGCCAGCATGGAAGATATGAGAGCCTGTCTCACAAAATAAATAAAGAAATGAATATGTATCTTTTTCATATTGATTCTAAGGCCCTCCTCAAAAGGTGAACTACAGAAATGCAGTAACTGTCACACCAAAAATGATACAGAGTGACAGAGAAGTGTTCTAAGCTGATCCTGATTTGTGCATTCTGCCATGACCTAGTTTTACTGTTTCATAATCACCACTGACTTCCTGGAATAGAGCACACATAAATCTATGTGTTCAGTAAGTTGCCTTGTTTTCTTTTTTTAACCCTGACTGTCCTACTCAATCTGTAGACCAGGATGGTCTCGAACTCCTGAGTGCTGGGGGTCAAAGGTGTGTGCCATCATGCCCTGCTGGGTATTTGTTTTCAGTGTGACCCAGGATGACCTCAGTACCGAGCATCTCCTGCCTCTGCCTCTCTAGGGCTGGGACTACAGGCATGTATCACTGATTAATTTGTCTTCATTTTAAAAGGAAACCCTTCAGGAATCATTTCTTGTCATGTCTTTTTCTCAGAATAGCCACAGGAGGAAATCCTTCAGGTGCCGCTCAAGCTGACCTTGTTGTGTCACCAAATACAAGTTCTTCCAAAGGGAATGTGGTTCTCCACTGTGTGAGTCACTAAAACCGTTGAGCCCCCCCATCGTCTGAGATGAACTCACATGGTCCTTCCAGCGCCAGGACCTCCTGGTAAGCTTCTCACCGGGCCCAGGGCTGACAAAACAGGAGGACCAGCAAATGCAAAATGAGGTCTTCCTTAGTTTTGCAAGAGATGTCTGCACTCTTAGACCAAAGCAATCAGCCGGATTCTTTTAAATGGGTCTTGAGAACTTCTAGGATTGATCTGCAAAGAAAAAAAAAAGTTAAAATATAAGTACTATATTCCCACTTAGCTTTTTCAAATTTAAGATTCCTCTCTCAGAAGATAAAAAGTCATTTTTTCATGCCTTTTAATCCCAGCACTCAGGAGCAAAAGCTGGCAGATCTTTGAGTTCGAAACCAGCTTCTGCCTCTCAAGTGCTGGTTTACTCCATGCTGGAGATCCAGCCTGGGGAGATGGGCAGCCCTTCCTGCACTCTAGAAAAGCATTTTCCCGACTGAGCTGCAACCCCCCCCCCCCCCCCCCCGTCCTCATTTGTCAGTTTTGTGCATGAACATTTGTGCAATGATACAGATAATTTGTTCAGTAACTAGTAGAGCTGAAGGTTCTCTGATGGTGAAAACCCACTAATGTACCATAGTATGCAGCACACAGTAAAACCTACAGATCCATTTATAGTGGAAAAGTCTGAACTCCAGAGGCCCCACTGGCTGGAATCCACTCAGACCTAGCTGCCCCCCACAACTTTGCTCAGCATCATCACAGGTCAGGAATATCAACGCCTTAACACCAGCAGATATCTTGGAGCCCTGGAGTCCTTTAGGTATCAAATGCAAAACCACTTAAGTTACCCTTCCGGGAAATAACCTGAGCAGAGACCTCAGGAAACCAGGTGTGAAATAACAGACTCCAACAAACTGCCTTGACAAGCTTCAAAACTTCCAAGAAGTGTACGGTATGGAGCACAGCAAGGTCATGTTGCTGATAGTATTTCTCTAGCTAATTTTCTTTTCTTGAGTTATTTTAGCCAATAAATATTGACCCATGAATTTTCTGCAGTAGGCCCAGTTTCCTTTCCGTTGACTTTGTAATTAGATGTCAAACAGGAGGTCTGTGGCCTTAGTTATCTCCCCTACCAGTGACAGGAAAGACTATCATAGCCATGAGCTATGAGACACAGGATGACTGCCCATCCAAAAATGACTTTACTGTGTTGCTTTAACAATGCCCTATTTGTCCAGGCGTTGGTGGCCCACGCCTTTAATCCCAGTACTCGGGAGGCAAAGGCAGGTGGATCTCTGTGAGTTCGAGTCCAACCTGGTCTACAAGAGCTAGTTCCAGGAAGCCTCCAAAGCCATAGAGAAGCCCTGCCTCAAAAAACCAAAAAACAAAACAAAACAAAACAAAACACTGCCCTATTTGACTCCAGTTTTGCTGTCTGCCTTCAAGATCAAGAACATCGGGGGAAAAAAAAAATCAAAAAGCAGGTGGATCTCTGTGAGTTCGAGGCCAGGCTGGTCTACAAGAGCTAGTTCCAGGACAACCTCCAAAGAAACGAGAAACCCTGACTCGAAAATAAATAAATAAAAGAGAACAGAGTTTAAAAGAAGCCTGTAGGAAAGCGTGTGACGGTGGTCCACACTGCTGTCTGCCAATGTGGACGGCTTTCAGATGCAACACTCATTCTCTACAGAGCTGCCCCAAATTTCTCTCGGTCATTACTTTTGGGGGTAATATCTCTACTAACTTGTCATTTCTTCTTCTTCTTCTTCTTCTTCTTCTTCTTCTTCTTCTTCTTCTTCTTCTTCTTCTTCTTCTTCTTCTCCTCCTCCTCCTCCTCCTCCTCCTCCTCCTCCTTCTTCTTCATCATCGTCTAACTTTTGGGAAAATAATCATGATTTAATTCTGAAAAATTTCCAGGGGGCCTGAGAGGAGAAATAGATTAGGAAACAGATGACTATTTCTCATCCCTTTCTTTTCTTCTCCTTCCTCCTCTTTCTCTTTTGATAGCCTTTGATGTTACAGGCTGGCCTGGAACTCACTCTGCAGGTGAGAAGGACCTTTAGCTTCTGATCCCTGTCCCATCCCCAGTGCTGGGATTACAGGTGTGTGCCACTATGCTCAGTGGGGCTGCGGTGTAGCTCAGGTGGTCAGGTTTGCCTAGCATGTGAAGGTCCCGAGTTCAATCCTTCACTGCATAAACCAGATATGGTGGCACATGCTTGTAATGTCAGTCCTCAGGGGGTGGGGGTAGGAGGTTCCGAAGTTCAAGGTTATTCTCAGTTGCATAATGAGTTCCAAGCCAAGCTAGGCTACACGAGGCTGTCTCGAAATCAAATGGAAACAAGAACAAAAGTCCAGAGCTGAATCGAGAAAAGAAATTGGGCAAGGGCTCATAGGGTGAAGGAATGGAAACGTCCCTTCTGGACTTGGCCCTGATGTGGTTGCAGCAAGCTGGATGGCTTGTGGCCATATAAGCAGATCTGCAGGATGGGATGGGGCTGCGGTTTTCCAGCATAGACCATGGGTGCATCTGCCGGCTGTCTTCCTGCATCCGATGCTCATTCTTGCTCCTTTTCTTGTCATCACACAGTCCCAACAGAGCTGCTCTCTCCTCCACCTGTATTTGTGCTTTCTGAACACACATGCCCACGTCTCCAGCATCTTCAGCTTTTCTTGACCCAGGTTCTTTTGTTTGAAATCCTAGGGCCTTGGGAACCACAGGACTCCAGCTGACATCAGTGTGCTTGCCTGTGCCTTACCATAGAGGAAAATAATGCTCAAGATGAAAGTGGTATGTTCCCCTGTGGCTACATTGGAAGAATGTGTGCACATCAAGTTATTTAAGACTGACATGTGAGTGTGAAGATCTTTCAAGATGATTGCACTTTGGTGCCTCTGACATGGCCTCCTCCCCCTGTCTCACAGTGCTAACAGCTGCCCTCATCATGCTCTCATTCACAAATCTAGAAGGAACTTTGTCTATTTTTTAATATATTTCATTTATCGTCTCTTCTCTCATATATTACATCTTGATCACAGTTTCCCCTCCCTCCTCTCCCATCTCCCTTAGACCCATTCCTCCTGTTTCTCTTCAGAAAAAGGCAGGCCGCCCGGGAATATCAACCAAATATGGCATAACAAATTACAATAAGACTAGACACATTCCTCATATCAAGCCTGGATGAGACAAGCCAGTAGGAGGAAAAAGGTCCAAACAAATCAGAGACACCCCCAATCCCACAAGAGCACCCAACTACAGAACCATAACGTATATGCAGGGGTCCTAGCACAGACCCACATGGGGTCCATGCTTGCTGTAGAAGTAACATTAAACACCTACAATGACCTACATAGGCATTTGGGGTTTCTTTTAAAAAGATTTATTTTTATTTTATTTATTTTCAAGACGTGGTTTCTCTGTGTAGCCCTGGCTGTCCTGGAACTCACTCTGTAGATCAGGCTGGCCTTGAACCCCCAGAGATCCACCTGCCTCTGCTTCCCAAGTGCTGGGTGGGATTAAAGGCGAGCAGCACCACATCCAGCTTTATTTTTATTTTCACGTGTGCATGCATGAACCCATACACACATGTGGATTCTGGTGCTCCACCCAGAGCAGAGGCATCAGAATCTCCAGAGCTGCCCGATGCGGGCCCTGGGAACTGAACTCAGTGTCCTCTCCAAGAACAGCAAGTGTTCTAAACTCCTCAGCCATCTCTCTATGCCCTTAACTTACACTTAGAATATAAGATACTATTTCTTTCAAGGCTGATGCATCCAATTATTAATCATAAGGATTGAAATTAAACACCCAGTCTCATCCCTCCTCTGAGGGCTGAGTTAGTTATAAAAGTTCAGATTCAAAACTGAACTCCTCTCTGCACTTTCTCGGGCTTGAATTTCGATCTCGGCACTTTGATTGCGGCACAGCACTTGAGTTAAGAATCACCTTGCTTAACTGGACTCTCTTCTCACTTCTGTAGTGCTATGAACTACATTGTCATAAAATCAATAGGAAAACCTCAGCTGTCACGGATCCTAAGCAACTCCTAGCCACAGAAATAACACGAACTGGCATTTCCGAGTTGTGCTGTTTGGATGACAAGAGCAGATCTAGCCAAGGGCTTTAAATTTCCTGATCTCTGTGAGTGCCTAGGCCTGCCCCCACCGAGAGTCTGAGATCCTGGAATCCGCTTTTCTCCTGGTTAGAGACCAGGTGTTCCCTTTCTTCTTTCAGAAACAACCACAGGGGCCAGCACAGCATATTGAGATGTGGGGCTCAAAGCTATTTCTAAGCTCTTCTAAGTTGGCTTTTATAGAATTTATAACAGGATTTCAAATTAGGTATTTTTTTTTTCTCTCCTGAACCAATGAAAAATTCAGATTTGGATTTAAAAGTAGAATTCAGAAACTAAGTGGTGAACATTTTCAAAGCCTGTCGGCACGGCCACTGCCAGGGTACTGCAACTCCAAAAACAAGGGCACATTTCCAATCGTAAACAATATACTAGCTACCGGTTGCCATTGTCCCAACTTCACCATTTCTGAAGACATGCTCAACCTTGCTGCAGTCTGCTATACAAATGCTAGCCTGCCATTCAGAGGAGAGAAGAGGTACCCATGACTGAAACCGTTCTGTTTTTATCTGGGATAAACTGCTTTCCACTCAGCTCCGTGACTTGTTTCATGGGAGCTCAGTGAAAAACCTGTTCCTGGATGCACCTACCCTGGAGTCCGTCCAACTTGGAGACTTTGATTATGCAGGAAACATGTGAACTCATCCTCAAAACTTGCTAAGCAGGCATATGCCCATCGCAAACTACAAATCGCTTACACACTTACAGGTAAAAATATTCTTTGATGACTCTGCCAGAGAGTCTATGCAGCAAATAACACAATTGCTCAGTGACTGTATCAAACTATCCATGTAAGTAAACAAATAAACACATAAGAGGGAGACTGTCAGTGGTGGCACATGCCTTTAATCCCAGGAGGGAGAGGCAGGTGGATCTCGGTGAATTTAAGGCTAGCATGGTCCACAGAGTGAGTTCTAGAGAGCCAGGGCTACACAGAGAAATCCTGTCTTGACCCCCTAAAAAAAAAAAAGAAAAAAGAAAAAAAAAACTAGAGGGAGATCAGACAGTAGCAAGTAGAGTGACACACAAACATCTTACAGTTTTATAGCATGGATGTGTGACACTTGTCATTTCTAAACTAAGGCTGTTGGAGTCTGTATTCCCTAC